GCCAACGTGTCTGATGCAAGACAGGCGCGGTAGAGATGGATGTGCATGTGGTCCACGACATCAAGTTCGTGTGATTGGTCACAAATTATCTGTTTCAAGCCAATCAAAACGTTGCTGGAGTGACTGAGCTTTTTCTACGCCGGCCAGAGCGGGCAGCGGCGCGTGCTGCGTCGTCGATATGTTGCCCTCTTGATATGGTATAAAGTATATAGATGAATGCGCATGCTCCTACATTGTTGTGCTACAAACGCGCACTAAGTTTGCACCAGTCTGCTAAATAGCGCGGAAATCCAGTGCACTCGCCGTCGTTGTCGCTGGTGGCTGGCTTGCCCATTTGCTCATATCTTCTCTTGTATTGTACATACATCTTCTGTAGTTACATGTGCATATTCGTCTATTAGAGCGCTACAATCGCGCACTATGTTTGCGTCGGACCGCTCAGTAGCGCGTAAACCCGGTGCAATCGCCGCCAGCAAGCCGCGGCATGGCCGAATTCGAACTTTGCCGGCGTGCGGAAAATCGAGCAGGCTCGACGATGATTGGTTAAGAGTAGATAATTATGTGATTGGTCTTAAATAATTTATTTCGCGCCAATCAAAACTACGAAATGCAATATTAACGAATCAGAGTGGAGGAAGGAGTTATTCCGGCCAATCCAATTGCTGGAACGCACCAAAGTTGGATTATATCTTTTCAGCCAATCAAAAGGTCAAAATGTTAGATGAACGAATCAGAGTTGAGGAATATATTATTTTGGCCAATCAATTGCTGGGATTCACAGACGTGACTGACAGTTTATTCCACGACGGCCAGAGCGGGCAGCGGCGCATGCTGCGTCGTCCATATCTTGTCCTCTAGATACAGTGTAAGCTATGTAGATACATGCTCATGCTCCTACATGTTTGTACTACAAACGCGCACTAAGTTTGCACCAGTCCGCTAAGTAGCGCGGAAATCCAGTGCACTTCTTGTCGATGTCGCCCCATGACTGGATTGCCCAATTGCTCATATCTTCTCTTGTATAGTACATACAGCAACTTCAGTTACATGTGGATATTCGTCTATTACAGCGCTACAATCGCGCACTATCCTTGCGTCGGACCGCTCAGTAGCGCGGAAATCCGGTGCAATCGCTTCCAGCCACGCCGCGGCATGGCCGATTTCGAACTTTGGCGGGATGCGGAAATTCGAGCAGACTGAATGCTGATTGGGTGAAGGGATAATTATGTGATTGGTCAAAATTAAATTCCTTGCTTCGAGCCAATCAAAACCATCAAAATGCAATATGGACGAATCACCGTTCAGCAAGTCGCTCAGCAAGTCGTTATTTTGGCCAATCAAAAGGCTGGAACGCACACACGTGACAAACAGACACACACACACACACACACACACAGACACACAGACACACTTACTACTTTATATATATAGATAGTATTGACTGTGAGATAGTATAATGGTGTAGTAACGTTACGCCATATGGTAGGTAGCCAATGACTCACAATTGGACGACAGAATCGTACGAAAATGGTCAGTAAGCTCTCTGGGCTGCGAATTGGGATTACTTGATGCTTCTGAAGGCCCATTACTGTACTGTACTCCATTAGAAAGCAGCGTATGATATGCACTCCACAAGTTATGCCTAAGTAAGCTACACCAACTCAAATACTATACCTTCACGTTCCAATATGAACGCTACAATGGAAAAACCGCTGGCGGATTTATTCTCTCCGTGATATGGCTTGCATGACACAACTGGATTGGCTAAAATGTATGCATTTCAAAATTTC